CTGCCTTTTCATGTAACGTCCAGTGTGCTGCAAGGCTCTGTTTTGGGGCCTTTTCTTTTCAACGTATTTATAAATGATGTTGTATTTTAGCATCCTGTTGCATTGATTTGTATCCATAATGTGTGTATATGTGCGTTGTATTGCAATACAACGCACGCAGCCACATAAGAAAGACACATCATAAGGCACAGTATATACAAAATTAAAACATAAGAACGACTCCCATAGCGGATGAATGGCATTACACACGAGTCTGATATACGACATGTAAGATGACAGATTTTAACAAGTTTTAATATATAAATTTTATTATTGAACAATGACGAACATACATTTTATAAATGGACACATGATGGCAGGCAGTGCAATGGTTTAACGTGATTATTACAACTGAGGATGGCAGAATGATGCCGAAACATGTAGTGTGAAGTGACAAGTGAAACTGTATGCACTAAAAGTAAGGTCTCCTATGTTTGAAAATATAAAATAAACATTTATTTTCAATTTTGGATATATCAGTTGAATCTTGAACATGTACTCATTTCTTTACATAATCGCCATTTCGGTCGATGCATTTTTGTAGGCACAGTGGCAGTTTTTGTATGCCCATGTCATACCAGTTCACCTCCATGCTCTTCAGGAAACTTCGAACCTCAGCTTTCACCTCATCGTCGTTGTTGAAGCGCTTTCCAGACAAATGTTCTTTCAACTTTGGAAAGAGATGGTAGTCACTGGGCGCCAAGTCCGGACTATAGGGTGGATGGGTGATGATGTTCCATCCAAACTGTTGCAGTTGAGCGACAGTTTGTCGGGCAGCATGGGGGCGAGCGTTATCGTGGAGAATGCTTACGCCCTTGCTCAACATCCCTCTTCTCCGGTTCTGAATCGCCCGCCTGAGTTTTCTCAGTGTCTCACAATATCTCTCAGCGTTTATTGTGGTCCCAGTTTCCATAAAGTCAACCAACAATACCCCTTTTCGATCCCAAAACACAGTTGCCATGACTTTACCGGCAGACTGTGTTTGCTTGAATTTTCGAGGCTTAGGCGAAGAGGAATGCCGCCACTGACGTGATTGTTGTTTTGTCTCAGGTGTGAAGTGGTACACCCAGGTTTCGTCGCCTGTGACAATTGAATTCAAGAAGTTGTCCTTTTCGTCAGCATAGCGGCGAAGAAATTCACGGGAAGAGTCAACTCTCTGCCGTTTGTGGTCTTCCGTGAGCATTTGCGGGACCCATCTTGCGCACACCTTCCGATAATTCAACTTCTCTGTCAAAACCCGATAAATGGTGGTTCGGGAAACCTCGGGAACCGAAATGCAGAGATCATCGAGTGTGATGCGCCTATCCTGACGCATGACTCGCTCAATCTTCGCGACTGTCTCGTCAGAAACTGACGGTCTCCCAGTTCTTTTTTCTTCGTGTATTGCAGTACGACCAGATTCAAACTCCCTACACCACTTGCGGACGTTCTTTATGTCCATGCATGACTCGCCATACACTTCCACCAATTGACGATGAATTTCAATTGGTTTAGTTCCTTTTGCGTTCAAAAACCGAATAACTGCACGAATCTCACACTTCGCGGTTTTAGTAATCAGGAGCTCAATTTCTAACGGCAACCGTGCCAAGACTGAGCGTCCTAGCTATGTGCGCATGCTTGGTGGTATTGGGGAGAGTGGGGGAAGCAATAAATGCAACAGGGTTCCCAACAGCCGCACAAAAAATTACCCAGCACTTTGGAGACCTTACTTTTGGAATCAGCTATGTATATATACATTATGGATATTTATAAATGACTTATGCAACTCCGTTAACTACTGTAAATTTCTAATTTTTGCTGACAATCTAAAGTTCTCCACATTATTAACTCTCCACATGATTGCCTCTCACTTCAATCTGACATTAATTCCGTATGTGACTGGTGCACTGCTAACTCCATGAAACTTAATATTGCTAAAACATGTGTTGTATCATACACCAGAAAAACAAATTTTCTGAGCTATGAGTATCAGCTTTGTCATGCTATCATTACACGCACCAGTAGTATTAAGGACCTGGGTGTTTTCTTTGATTCAAAGTTACATTTTCACACATATGTTAATCACATATTTTCTGAATGCATAAAGCTTTTAGGCCTTATTCACTCCATTACCTATAGGTTTTCCTCCCTGGAGAGTCTGCATGTACTATATTTTACTTTAGTCAGGTCCAAGCTGGAATATGCTTCAGTAGTTTGGAACTCCATCACCTCAACTGATGCCAATAAGCTTGAGCGCATCCAGCAGAGGTTTGTGTCCGCCCGTTTTTATCGTTTTTTTTCCTCATATTTCATATAATTATATTGATGCTTTAGAGCAATTAAGTCTACAATCTTTACAGAAACGGAGACATCACCTTGATGCACTTTTTCTTGTTCAGGTCTTTCATGGTCTTAAATCATGCTCTTCTCTTTTGGAAAATGTTAGCCTTTGTGTTCCTCCTAGCAATCTCAGGGACTTCTCATTGTTTGGTGTTTGCCCCTCTAATAAACACTGTCCTTCTGCTCGGTGTGCCTATGCTGCCAATGCAGTGGGTAAAGATCTCAACATATTTGCAATTGGAACAGTTTCTGTCAATAACACTGAACCTAAAATTGTTAATAATATTTGTTAATCATACTCTTAATATTACTTGAGTGTATGTGGTCTTATTTTATTGTTCTCTCCTGTTAACGTTAACTTTAATTTTTCTTGGCATTATTATTAATCTATTATCATTATGTAGACTCTCAAATTTTGTATTTGTTTTTTAATTATTTTTATGTAATTCTATGTACTCATGCTACCCTTTTAATTGGTCTCTGTGCTGTTAAGCTGTATGTAAATAAACATGAATTGAATTGAACTGAATTAGGATGTAGAGCTGTCACACGAATAAATAAGAATTGGGTTATTATTATTATTAACTTCTATGTGTGTATGTATGTGTATTGTCCTTTCTCACCACATAATGGAATAACCATTCAAAATGTATTTATTTTATTTTCTCACCTGTTAATGTTAACTTTAATTTTTCTTGGAATAATTACTAATTTAATGCCATTATATAGACTGTCTTATTTGTATTTTGTCTTTTAGTTATATCTGTATTTCTATGTACTCGTGCCAACTTTGTTATTGGCCTCTGGGCTGTTACGCTTGCATGTAAATTGGCATGAATTGAATTGAATTATTATCCTTTCTCGCCACAAATGGCATAACTATTGGAAATTATTTTATTTTATTTTTATCGCCTGTTAAAGCTAACTTAATTTTTTCTTGGAATTGTTATTAATTTATTACTATTGTATAGACTGTCATATTCTGTATTTTGCTCTTTAATTTTTTGTATTTCTATGTACTCGTGCTAACTTTGTAATTGGCCACTGTGCTGTTAAGTTTGCACATAAATAAACATGAATTGAATTGAATTATTATTATTATTGTTTTTGTTGAATTTTGGTGTAACCTACAGAGACATTGGGTTTTCAGACTTTATCCATCGTCCTGGTTTTTAAGATAACTAAGAAAAAACACGACGTTTTGGAAACTGGATCTGTTTCCATCCTCAGGTGAGGTAAAACACCTATTCTGTTGGGTCCCTACCTCACCTGAGGACGGAAAGAGATCCAGTTTCCGAAACGTCGTGTTTTTTCTTAGTTATCTTAAAAACCAGGACGATGGATAACGTCTGAAAACCCAATATCTCTGTGTGTTATACACCATCGTCAGAATCCTATAGTAACTATTTGATGTAACCTGTTTGATGGCCTAATGAGGGTGGGGCAAGTGGGGCAGTTTTGGGTTTCTATTTGTTACAACTATCCATAATATGTGTTTACTTGGGCAATTGCTACTTTTGGTTGTGGTGCCTCGCCCTTTTGGGTTTCATGCCTTGTTTTATTTATTTCTGTATTTTGTGTGTCAGTTTCCTTTGTTAATTTGGCTATTAAATATTGTTATTGGTTGTTTTCAAAGCCTGTATATATATTATTTCCTCTGTAAATGCTTGGATACCCCATAAACACCCTGGGGAGCTTGTGAACGTGACAACAGAGTCAGTGATGAGGGCTGCTCCTCCTGAATTCTATCTCTGATGTGCTAGTGGAGGAAAGTACGGTTAGTGGTATGTGTACTGCGAGAGAGAAGAAGAGAATAGTGGAGAAGGGGGCTGGGGAGCTGTTCAGTTCACCCAGAAATTATAGAGAGGATAACCCTCTGCTCAGGACTGTGGTTAGCAGTCAGTTGCAGTATGCAGAAACCTGAGAGATGGAAGACGTAAATACTGAGTTGTTGCCTCAATGGCCGTCTCCATGGCACTTCTCTACTTGCACCAGTCTAGCCTTCAGGTGTCATGCCACAAGTCGCATAAATGTTTAGGTAGTACTGTGATGGCCACATTTTCTGGCTCCACTATTTTGACTTTCAGGAGTTTGGGGGGGGGGGCAACAGAGAGACACAGACAGAGAGATGATCTCATAACCCTCCTTGTACTTGTTCAATATAAGGAAAGGAGGCTAAAACAGCTAAAAAGGTTCTCTGAAAATCTGGCTATGATCAAATTATTTAGGAGTAATGGTAACAAATAAAAACTGCATTCACAAAGAAATCTAGAGCATATTAAATTCAGGGAATGCTTGCTACGATTCAGTTTGCAATCTACTGTTAAGCAGTGTGATATCTAGGAACATAAACATTACATTAAACAAAACTATGATGTTGCCTGTAGTTCTGTACAGGTGTGAAACTTGATCTATTTTTAAGGGAAGAATATAGATTAACCCTTTAAATGCTACCATCGTGCCAGGTAAGGTAAGTGACAGTGAACATATGTATCCATGCCATGTTTCAAAATAACTAAAACGTCTTTTCTGAACCATTATATGAGTCACACTACCTGACCCTTAACTCAGCATATGAAGTGTTACCAACTACATCAATTTAAATACATCACTTCAACACATTTGTCACATAACAGTCTTACCTCATTTGTGTTCATGTTGGTTTGTGTACCTGATCCAGTTTGCCATATTACAAGAGGAAAATGATCATGGTACAACTTCCCACTGATAACATCATCAGCAGCTTTGGAAATAGCTTCAGCTATCTTTGGATCCAAACCATAATCTTTATTGACAATGGCAGCAGCTTTCTTCAGAATGCCCATTGCAGTAATTATTGGAAACTAAGATAAAAAGTAACCAGCACCCATTTCATTATTTTATATCTTCTAAATAACAGCTGTTTAAGCACTGATTCGGTAACTTTCTACAAAACTGCATAATTCTTTCCTTCCATTCTAGTAACTTAAATGGCTGCATGTCATTACAATTAATAGGTAAGGTGAAATGTTCAATTTACAGTAGATCCACCTTCAGAAGTCTTCTAAGGGACCAAGCAATATAAATTTCTTATGCAGCAGACATCTTGAAAGGGTAAGCTTCGAAGTGTTTGTAAAATCAATTTTATCCCTTGTGGAACACTAATAATTTTATTACTTTTACGCCATGTGGAACACTAATAATTTTATTAAGTATATGTATACCTACAATTTAAAAACTGATTGTTTATTGAAAAGAGTAGAATACAATTACAAATTTATTTACTTATCTTAACACTGTGTGTTCACAGTCTGTAAGCTAGAATACCGAAACTATGCTAAATAATAAGCTTTAAGACAGAAAAAATAAGATTAATACAAATAGCACTACACAAACCTTTGTTAGAAAGTCATCACTAGTTATCACCTAACTTCTACTGCTCACTGAGCAAGGTGGTTATTTATGTTAACATCTGCTTTGTTCTTCATTCAATTCCTACAGATAAATGGGTAAAATGTTCAGAATATGTATTTAAATTGTCCTGCTTAAACAGGATATCTTGTTATAATGGAAACATTTTAAGCAGAACATCACACTGAGTTAATTACTTATTTTTTCGTGGTAAACACTGCACCAATTTTCTATATAAAATTTGTAAGCCATCATAACAAATTTCAACATTAATAAAATTTCAAATGACTGAACAAAACCAGGAATCATTCTGGAGGAAGACATTTTAAAAAACAGAATGTTTTTCTTCTTGATACTCATAAAAAAGGCATGACTGCTATTCAGAAGCGTCATGAATTTGCAAAGTTGGGTAAAATCTGAATGTACCAACATACCTATGTGAATATCCGTAATTTATGTATGAATAATTTTTAAGGCAGTATGCGCATAACACAGGTCTAAATTTTTAGACTATGAAGCCCATTATTAAATTTCAAGAACCATGAATTACCCACCTAAAAATGTTCATATGAAAAAAATAAAATAAGGTTTATTAATTAACGTACAATGCATAATGAGGAGCTTCGTAACTTGTACTCTTGGCCAAGAATGATGAAGTCAAGAAGGATGAGGCATGTAGCATGAATGAGGGCAAAGAGGAATGCATATAGGATTTTGGTGGGAAAACCAGAAGGAAAGAGACCGCTATGAAGAGCAAGATATAGGTGGCTGGATGATATTAAAATGGATCTTAGAGCAATTGGATAGGGTGATAGGAACTGGATTGATCTTACTCAGGATAGTGACCAGTGTTGGGAAATTCTTGAGAAGCTGCACAACTGGTGGTTTCTTACAAAGGGCTCATCTCAGTCTAATTAATTAACCTGCAAGGAATATATGCTGCACAATCATAAATTTGGTTCTCTTCTTAGCTAAACTGCATTATGAGTTATCACTTCTATCTTCTGTCATATAATGTCATGCAATCTGTTGAAATCAATGGACATTTTGGAGGTACATATCACCTCCAAGAAAGAAACCAGCATCAAGCAGGCAGCAAGCAGAACACTGACTGCTCTTCAGTCCTAAAGATGGAGGCAATATGTTCCTCCAAACCATATGGTAACTTTCACTACACTACATGGAAGAGCTCTCCCCTTTGGGTCTTCACCATTAAGGGCAAAGCAATAGGTCAAACATGCTACCCACAGCAGATACATTTCATTTCAGACAGCTTTAGCACTGTGCTAATTTAAACATGGTTGCAAGGTAATATGGTGTGCCACATAAGAAAGGACATATTGCCTACCTTGACACATGAAACAAATTTGTATACTACCACAGTCAATAAGTTCGTGGAATGGCCGCAAAGCATCATACAGGAATTTACTGCCAATATGTTTCATCAATGTTTTCAACAGCTATATCAACGTTGGCAGACTTATATAGCGGCCAACAGCAACTATTTTGAGGGCCAATGTGGATCTGTGTAAGTGTATGTGAATACCTTGTAATATGATGTGATAAAACCGCATTCCACGAACTTAATCACTCTATGACTTTAGGGCATAACTGCAGGAGGTGATTTCCTAGGTCTTTGTGATCAAAAAAGTTCATATAAACATGTGTCCAATTTTGGACGGTTACGGAGTTATGACCATTTTTTCATTTCCGTACACACCCTCGTGTGAACCGCATCTATCATCTGGCAGGTCACTATTTTTAGCCAGCTACAGACAGAACGTTCTCGTTATCCCAACACTTGAGAGATACTAAGGTGTGGTGGGTTGGTATGTCCGGCACGGTTCACAACCGAGTGGCAGCCTGTGTTGCGGCCGGCGGTGGCATTTCCGAAAATCAGCTTTAAGCACCAATGAATTCAAATTAAAGGTAATTTCACAAAGTTAACTTTACATTCATACTTGAAATCATGTATCATGTATTATGCTGGTTTATTATTTTCATCCGTTTATTGTCAGTTACCTTCTATTCTGAGTTTAAAACGGTCATAACACCATAACCGTCCAAAATCGGACACGTTTATATGAACTTGTTTGATCACAAAGACCTAGGAAATCACCTCCTGCAGTTATGCCTTAAAGTAGTGAAACACCCTGTATTTCACATTTTACAAGTCTATCCACCTCAGAATCATTAAATTATTACTGGCACGCTGTAGCGTAGTGGTTAAGGCACTATGGTACAAGTCGGAAGGTCGCGGGTTCAAGTCCCGGTAAGGTCACTGGATTTTTATCAATTGACCTAATCCTTCCAGCTGCACTGTGGCCCTGGGGTCGACTCAGCCTCTAACAAAATGAGTACCAGGAATTAATTAAATAATTTTCCTTGGGAGTAAAGCACGGCCGGGGCATAAGGCCGACAACCTTACCGCCATCTTCGAGCCGATTGCCTAGATAATGTGGGACCCTCAACGTCTCACAATCCTATGGGCCATCATGGCCTGTTACAGGGATAGCTTTACTTTTTTTTTTTACTTATAGCTTCCAGCATGAATAGGGGAGAAGAGGAATGCATATAGGATATTGATGGGAAAGCCAGAAGGAAAGAGACTACTGGGAAGCCCAAGATATAGGTGGGTGGACAATATTAAAATGGATTTTAGAGAGATAGGATGCGACTGGTCTGGCTCAGGATAGGGACCAGTGAAGGGCTCTTGTGAACACGGTACTAAACCTTCATGTTCCATAAAATGCTGGGAAGTTCTTCAGTAGCTGCACAATTGGCAGCTACTCAAGAAGGGCTCAGCACCATACGTGAGTCAGTAAGTGAGCTCCCTGTAATGGTCTAAGTGTTGCCCAGTGCATCTGTTTCAGTGACATGTACCAATGATGTTTCATAGTGATTTGTAGTATACTGTAGAACTTCTCACCATGTTGTAACTTTCCACTGCATTATTATATTGCCTTTTACAGCCTACTACCACTGAAAAAGTGGTTTTCAGGGTTAAATATGGTATGGGTAGTTGGTATTTCCAGATTTTAAATTATCCATTGTTTTTCAATATCCTTTCATTTTTTCTTGTCCCTTACTGCAGATGATTGAGAGTTTACACTGTGTGTGTGCATGTGCATGCTCGAGTGTGTGCATGCACACACTCAGGATGAAATGAAATTCATCCACAAGACCTCCACAGTGTTTCCTTGTTAAAAACAAGTCAAAAATATTGTACAACATATGTCCCATTGACAGAGTTTTAATACACATCTCACTGTCAAATTGCTCATGCTATCAAACGATCAAACCACAAGCATCTTGTAGTTACAGAAGTGTCTGAAGCAGGCCCCATTCACTTCAAGGTAGACCGCAGTGCACCACACAGCATTCTCTCATATGAACCTTAACACGCACACTGGCATCAACCATTGACACATCTGCTTGAAGTCTTCCCACGAGATCTTTGATAGCCTCAGGAGGGACTACATAAACATATTCTTTCAGGTATTCCAACAGGAAAACATTCATAAAAGTTGGAGCAATCAGCCTTCAACATTCAATCCACTCTCCTGGATACATTTCACTGGAACTCTTGTCATGCCAAAACCACACCTCTGTCTCAACGCAAGAGGTTCATTTTCAAGTAGCTAAGCACATGATTACATGGCCCGATGCAAGGCAATGGATGGGTAAACACATCTCTGCAACAACAGATACGCATGGAACACTCAAAGACACTGTTGAAACAGTGCTGAGGCTATTTAGAGAGGACAGATGAGAAGAACTGGTCATAGAGGAATTGCACAACTCCCAGAGTCATGAAATAGTAAAATATGGTCATAAGTCCCACAGGACTTGACCAGGAATAACCGTGCTGGCGAGAGCCAGCAGAAATTTACCCAACCGAGTTACTCAGTCATGAGTTGAGAATTGACAGTTGAGCCAGTGAGTTAGATGCAAGGCAATTGACAGCTGGTAACAATATGAGTTGAGGACACGGTATGGATCTGACACCAAGAAACAAGCAGTGAAAACTACAGGTACAACAAACTGAGACTTTTTTTTATTATTGCTAGTGAGGTGGGACTAAGCCCCTTGCACTGCGGCCACTTTAGGCTTATTGTACCAGCCCCAGATGATAGGTGAGGGTGATTGTGGAGCAATTGGTGAAATGAAGATTGGCAGGGGAAATGGAAGTACTTGGAGAAAACCTGCCCCAGCGCCACTTTGTCCACCACGAATCCCACTTGACCAGACCCGGGATCGAACCCGGGCTTCTGCAGTGGGAAGCCAGCGACTAACCGCTTGAGCTGTAGTGCGGCCCAGCTGAGACTTAGCGTGTGCTGTAGTGAAAAGTAAAATGTGTAAATCAGTGAGGCCATCAGAGTTACTTGTTGCTAAGAGTTGTGTGTTCAGTAAATCCAATTACCAATTCAAACCCTGTGTGCAGTCACTAATA